TTTCTTTATTTTTGTTACACAAAATTAATTTGCATGTTACACCTGATCTTCAAATTTAATTGGCCAATTCTTAAAATGTGATGTATAAGCACATCACAGCATGCAATGCCTAATTAAGTCTTAAAATATTTATTGTTTTGAAAAAATTTTTTTATTTATTATTTTCATTAGCAGTTTTTTTCTTGCTAGATATAAATAAAGAAACTTGGTTCAAAAAAATCTAGATAGATGTAAACAAGTTGAATATGATAATGGCAAAAATAGCAAAACTAACAAGTATTAATCTTGATAATAATTGTAAGATTAGTAACTGTTCTTTATAATATATAGCAATTCAAAGATTGAAAGATTTAAAAGTTCCAAAAAATAATTATATAGAATTCTCTAGTCACTGTAGTAGAGAAGAAATTCAGACATATAGTAGCACAAATAATAGTTAAAAGCTTGGGAATATGGGGTAAAGTCAATAGAAATAGAACAAATTTATCTAATAAATTTGGCACATTTCTATTAACTCTACCCTTTATGTTAATACTAATATTTTTGGTTCTTGACAATATTCTATACAAAGAATTCAATCATTTTCCTGGGAATGCAAGAATTACTTGGATTTTGAAGATGATAAAAATAAAGGTATTTGCAAATTTTATTGTTTAATTCTTTACACATCTATTTTTTATTACAATTGTTATAAATTATAAGAACAAATACCTGAAGTATTACCTGAAGCACTACCTAAATCACCACCTGGATCATCACCTAAATTACCACCTGAAGCACTACTTGAAGCATTATTGCAACTATCACAATTGCCAAAACTATTTCAAAGACAATTGCTAAAACTACTACATAAGTCAAAATTGTATATATCATTCAAACCATCTTTCAAAAAGACAAACATTTCTCCCAAAATTTTAAAAACATCTAATATAGTGCTTGGTATAATCAAACAAAAATTTGATAGTCAAATACTTGTTAATACTTATGATTAAATCGGACATCAAATGATTGCAGATTAACCAATAGTATATATTTAGCGTTGATTAATCTGCAATTGGTTGACATCCAATTTAAATATAAGTATTTGATTGTCAAATTTTTGTTTGATTGTGCTAAGCACTAATCTAATATTTGTAAGCTATCACAAATTCCTTAGCCTTTATTATCAGTACCTTCTACACAACAAAGATCATATTTTGGCAATATTTCTAACTGTATTATGCCTATAACTTATAAAGATATTAGAGAGAATGAAAGTAAAATAAACAATAAAAAAGTTTATTACTATTTCCACTACCATTTTTAAAAAATAAAAAAAATATACTTTTTTAAAATGTATTTTTTTTTTTTAAAAAAAATGTAATTTTTATTTTATTGAATAAATAATGCACTATACAATTGCATTTTAAAAAAATCAGTATTCTTGACATTTATTTCAATCAGTTTATATGAAAATGTAATTTTCATATAGACTGGTAAAAATAACCAAGGAGAAAAAACATGAGTTGTTACATAGTACTCATGGAATAATATTAATAACTATATAAAATTATATATACAGAGAGACCTCTCTAAATACACTCTCAATAAATGCACCCTCTATGTAAAATACACAGTTTAGTCTAGTCTCAGCTTATAATAGTATTATATATTTTGCTCTCTATAAATGCACACCCTCTCTAAGTGCATATTTTTAAAATTTTTTACTATGGTCCTGAGGGGGCATTTAGAAAGATCTCATTATAAAATTTTATTTTAAAATCAATCTGTCTATTAAAATTACTGATAACAATCATGGTCTTCTAAAATTTTTACAATGCTAGAACTTAAAATATTTATTGTTCTATTTTGTAAAGAATGTTTTCTTGTTTTCTTTCAGTTACTCTAAATAATTAAACTAACAATACCAAAACAGCCCCTTGAAGTTCAGGTTTATAATTGATATTACTACCTAAGCTGCAGCTACAAAGTGTTTGTTTTCTTCATAATCGATATATATACATATAATATTACTAGTACATGATAAGGTTGTGATATTGATCATCAATCTAAACTTCGATGGGGCCACCCTGGTGTTGTCAATTAAACTAGTGCTTGCAATAGATGTAGTAGGTTTTTACCAGAATGATAAAAATCAAGGTATGTAATATAATATACAGTATATAGCATTAATATATAGTCAAACCTCTTTATAATCACATGCTTGAGATACAAAAATGCATAATTGTAAAGAAGTGTGACAGTTATAGAGGTCAAATTTATTATATTTAATAATACTGTATAAGGTAAAAGGGGGTATTATGATGCAAAACCAATTATGACGCACCTGGCATATATCATGATCCACTAGCCAGAATCGAATAATTTTGGTATTAATCAATTCGTCTTGGTGAGACAAGTCGAATGGTATTAAAACCATGTAACTCAGATTATTGAGTCACAAGATATCTTTATTCAAATATCATATTGTGAAGTTTTTTCTTTAAAGTTCTAGCAAAGCATAATAACAATACATATAAAAGTGATATATAAATAATGTAAATAGTTTTGAATATATTAATTAATAAAGTTTAATCAGGTTTAACCTAAGTTCACAGCACAAATTTATATATTTTTTATATATTTTTTTTATTATATAAATTCAAATAATCAATTTATTTCTTTATTAAGTTATTCTGACGTGGCAAGAATACAATTAAAATGCACTTAATTTTCAAAATATTTTACTAAATTATAAGACCAACTTTTAATTTGAGATACTTTAAATACAAGTAAAGTAAGTTTACTGCAGACTGTAGATCTTAAAAGCCCAACAATACAGTAATACAGAGGCTTCATTAAATGAGTGCCACCAAGTAAAAACTTGCAATTTTGATTTTTGCTAGCTCCACTTTCTAATCTGATTTCTGATAAATTGAATTAAGTACAATATTTTTATATAGTGTGTTAAATCATATTTTTCAGAGTTTGATCTGTAAGATTAATTTTAGAAAACTTGCAATTCCTGGTTTTTGCTTGGCAACACTCAAATGTGCTCTCTAAATGCATTCTCAAATTTGGCCCAAAATAAGCTCCCATAAATACACATTTATTTATTGTTTTCTAAATGCACATAGTTAGATGTTTGGTTTCTTTGCAAGTGCTATCATACATACTATTAAAACAATTAAAACATAGTACCAGACATGGACATGGATACTATGTTTTAATAATATGTGTGATGGCACTTGCAGAACCAGTCATCTAAAAAATTATTCGTGTATTTGTTAATAATAAAGTTTAATTACCATAGTAACATATTTATAAACAAATAATAATAATAATAATACATTATAAATAGATGGACTTAACTTAATTTATATTTCAATAAGTCCAATTCTCCTTAAAACTGCATTTAAATAAATCAAATCGACCTTAAATCAGTCTTAAAATAAATCTATACTTAAAAGTAAATCAGCATGTCTTTATCTAGTGATCGATATAAGCAAAACCAAGCCATTGAAAGTGCTCTTAAAGAGTTTAAGAATTCTCTAACTGATTTTAAAAGAAAAATAGCAAAAAAATTTAGCATCTCTAAAGCAATTCTGAGACATGCTATAAAAAATCAGGGTCCTTTAGATCATCCAGGTCCTGCTAATGTTTTAACTAACTATAAAGAACAACAACTAGTCGGTTATTGTCTAAACATGCAAAAACTTGGCTTTAGACTAATAAGGTCAGATGTGAATCATTGTGTTATAGAAATCGTCAATAAAAGTAAAAGGCAACATCCTTTTAATAAGAGTGGACCGCGCAAGTAATAGTAAGCACATTTTATAAAGGACCATTCTGAGCTTTCATTTCGTGCTTCTCAGGCCTTGAATGAGGAATGAGCACAAAGGGCCAATCCTATTATAGTGCAAGATTATTTTAGAAAGCTTAAGGAAATTATCAAAGAACATTTGCTTACTGCTGATAGAATCTGAAACATGGATAAACAGGTTTCATTCTCAATTCTGAACTTAATAAAGTTATTGCAAAAAAGGGTGCATGGCAGGTAATAATAAATTTTGTTAGCAGTATTTGAAATAAATAAAAATAAATAAAAATAATAATAAAAATATTAATTTTTTTCTAATTACTATTCTAATAACAGGTCCACCAAGTTTCTTATAGAAATTCTAATAAGCATATTTCTATGTGTCCAACCATCTCTGCTGGCAGAATGTATATCCCATCACTTATTATTTACAAAGGAAAGTATATGATTCTAGGCTTTTTGAATAGTGCTCTCTCTGGTTCTGTTATGGGATTCACAGAAACAGAGTACATACAAAAGTCCCTTTTTTAGAAATATATTGAGCATTTCATTCACTCAATTCCACCTGCTTCTAAATCTTGATGTGCATAAAAGTCATATTAGCTAAACCAATATTAACATTTGTTATAATAATAATATCCTTCTATACACACTCCCACCCCACACTACTCATATACTTCAACCGGCTAAACTTTTCTTTGCATAGCTTAAAGAAGCATACAACAAAGGATGTGAGCAACTTCGCATTAGTAATAACAGAGAATATGTAACTAAGTACACATTCGCCAAGGTTTTTGGTCCAGCATATATTAAAACTTACACACCTTTGGCAATTTGCTATGTTTTCAAGACAACTGGGATATGGCCTTTTAATCCCAGCACAATTAGCCCTGACCATCTTGACCCTTCGTTAGTTACTGAGCAGCCTGATATCTTTCTGACACAATCAATTCTATCACCTTGCACAACTGTAGTATCATCATCTTCACAATCTACTTCTCCAAAGTCAAATTCAAATAATGTATGTTCCTGTAATACATCAAGATCTGAAGTCATAAGTATCAATGCAAAAGTCAAAGAATTAGAGGCTGAGTTGAAAACGACAAAAGAGGAATTGGAGACCTTAAAAAACCCTGGTACATCATCTTTATGAATGATCCTTAAGTACCCTTTACCTCATTCAAATTTGGTCGAAGAAGATCCAGAGATCAATGCCGAAAACCAACCTGAGTCCCAATTACCAAAAAGAAAAAAGCAAAAGACAATGCCTTTTTCTCAGCTCCTTACCAATGAAGCATCGTTAAAATCATTGAGAGACACAGAGGAAGCCACTGAAAAAAAAGCCAATAAGATAAACTGTAAAAAAGAAACCGCAGCTCAAAAACAACTAGAACGGGAAACTAAAAAGGCACAAAGGGAAGAAGCAAAAAAAGAAAAAGTTAACAAAAAAAAAAGATCAGATTAATCAAAAGTAAAATCAAATTTTACTTATCTTAGATCTGTGCATTATTTTTGGTCCACCACCTGAAGATCACTAATTTTCTTAAAAAATTTTCTTATTATAAAACTTTTTTTTCTATATAAAAAAAATTTTTTTTAAAAGAATAAAAACATTTTATTTGAAACCTCTAGATTCGAAATATATTAAAAGTTTGTTAATTATAAATTGACTTTATAAAATAATC